AAAAAAAAAAAAACTTGTTTATCTCGTTCTATACTAACCTTAGCGAAGTCAATCTTTAAAGTGCAGCATCCAGAATATATGTCTGCTCCATGAAGTGTTTCTTTTGCTCTTGTGGCTGAATCTACAGAATCGAACGTAATCACGATGAAACTTAGTTAAGGAATTATAGCTGTATATAACATCGTCTTTTTTTTTTTTTTTTTTTTTTTTTTTTTTTTTTTACCTGAAAAATATAAAAACCAGCTTTTGAAGAGAAGAAAGAAAAAAAAACCACTTGCGATTATTAAAATGAAGATTTAAAATGTATATAAATGCTCTATCGTCGTAACGTTTGAAAATCATGCAAGTGAAACGTATTTCCCGTTGAACATCGAAGTTATTACACGGAAAACGCATTAGAAAGGATATTCCACCATGGCTTGAACGCCGTTCTTCTTGAAGATAACGATGCGTTGAACTTGCCCGCTAGGCGCACTGATGGCATGAAGAACTTCCTGCAATGGAAAAATATTACAAATAATATGTTGGATATATTTTTTTCTATTTTTTTTCTATGCAAAAAGTTATATAGAATAAATAATGAAAGATGAAAATGTAAAACTTTTAATGTTAACGATATTAACGACGAACGACGAAGAAAGTTCGAAATACGTATATTAAAAAGTTTCTTTTTTTACCGTTAAATATTTGTATATTTCATTTACATATTTTTCTTTTTTTTTCATAAATAATTATACGAAACTATACGATAGATTAAATTAACGGCTATAGCACGGTGATAACACTAGTTACTGCTTCGATATTTAAGGGGTTACATGGATTTACACCGGGAAAAAATAGCATATTTTCAACAATTTTTTTTCTATGTAAAAAATGGAATTCCTATTCAAACTTTTTATAGCATTTAAGATACATATTTAAAGAACATTTTCTGAAWTTTTGGTTGAAAAATATTTTAAACTCAGCCATTGCGACGTCATTTCCGGTGACCCCACCGAAAAAAAGTGTTTTCGCGTTGACAGCAGAACTTATAAACGGTGGGGG